GAAAGGGTGAACGAAGGGACAGTAGGGGAAAGGGAAGGAGGGAGTGAAAAGGTGAACGAAGGGACATGAGGGGCAAGGGAAGGAGTGAGTGAAAGGTGAACGAAGGGACAGGAGGGGAAAGGGAAGAAGTGAGTGAAAGGGTGAACGAAGGGACAGTAGAGGAAAGGGAAGGAGTGAGTGAAAAGGTGAACGAAGGGACAGGGGGGGAAAAGGGAAGGAGTGATTGAAAGGGTGAACGAAGGGACAGGATAGGAAAGGGAAGGAGTGAGTGAAAAGGTGAACGAAGGGACAGAAGGGGAAAGGGAAGGAGTGATTGAAAGGGTGAACGAAGGGACAGGATGGGAAAGGGAAGGAGAGAGTGAAAAGGTGAACGAAGGGACAGGGGGGGGAAAGGGAAGGAGTGATTGAAAGGGTGAACGAAGGAACAGGATGGGAAAGGGAAGGAGTGAGTGAAAAGGTGAACGAAGGGACAGAAGGGGAAAGGGAAGGAGTGAGTGAAAAGGTGAACGAAGGGACAGGAAGGGAAAAGGGAAGGAGTGAGTGAAAGGGTGAACGAATGGACAGTAGGGTAAAGTGAAGGAGTGAGTGAACGGTTGAACGAAGGGACAGGAGGGGAAAGGGGAGGAGTGATTGAAAGGGTGAACGAAGGGACAGGAGGGGAAAGGGAAGAAGTGAGTGAAAGGGTGAACGAAGGGACAGTATGGGAAAGGGAAGGAGTGAGTGAAAGGGGGAACGAAGGGACAGCAGGGGAAAGGGAAGGAGTGAGTGAAAAGGTGAACGAAGGGACGGGAGGGGAAAGGAAAGGAGTGAGTAAAAATGTGAACGAAGGGACAGGAGGGGAAAGGGGAGGAGTGATTGAAAGGGTGAACGAAGGGACAGGATGGGAAAGGGAAGGAGAGAGTGAAAAGGTGAACGAAGGGACAGGGGGGGAAAAGGGAAGGAGTGATTGAAAGGGTGAACGAAGGGACAGGATAGGAAAGGGAAGGAGTGAGTGAAAAGGTGAACGAAGGGACAGGGGGGGGAAAGGGAAGGAGTGAGTGAAAGGGTGAACGAATGGACAGTAGGGTAAAGTGAAGGAGTGAGTGAACGGTTGAACGAAGGGACAGGAGGGGAAAGGGAAGGAGTGAGTAAAAAGGTGAACGAAGGGACAGGAGGGGAAAGGGAAGGAGTGAGTGAAAGGGGGAACGAAGGGACAGTAGGGGAAAGGGAAGGAGTGAGTGAAAAGGTGAACGAAGGGACAGAAGGGGAAAGGGAAGGAGTGATTGAAAGGGTGAACGAAGGGACAGGATGGGAAAGGGAAGGAGTGAGTGAAAAGGTGAACGAAGGGACAGGAGGGGAAAGGGAAGGAGTGAGTGAAAGGGTGAACGAAGGGACAGTAGGGGAAATGTTCTGGTTGCATTAGTTGTCTACTAGTTGAGTTCAAACCTCTTCGTTGATTTTATAAATGATTGTACAGCAAGTATGATGTTGGCATTTGTTTGGAATGGGAGGTCTGCATCTCCCCATATAAGAACATCCAGTTGGGGGACTAGTTGAATACCGATGTTTGATCTAGCATCTAATAATCTTATTCGAGGATTTGAAAATTGTGCACAGACAAAAAAATAATGATATTTCATTTCATCAGATTTTATTGACTTTATATATGTCAATTGGATTGGACATCAGGCTAGGCCTATTTAAGTCCTTTCCAAACTTATTTACAAACATAACATATATTCTGTCATAACAATCCAATTAAACAGTGCAGGGGAGATAACTCCAATTTAGCTTGTGAAATGAACATTTTACAACTTTTGTTTAATCATTTTCTGTTAATGATTTAGATATTGATAATTAAATAAATCATGTATGNTAGCTTGTGAAATGAACATTTTACAACTTTTGTTTAATCATTTTCTGTTTATGATTTGGATATTAACAATTAAATAAATCATGTATATTTATTGACAACCCATCCTACATAAAATCCAAGGGATACAGGCCCAAAAGTCCCTGTGTATAAACACATTGGCCATCCACCCACTGGATATATAGGATAAGTTACCAAGAAATAAACATTTTGTAAAATTTCAGAATATGTTATGGAATTTTTTTTTTATATGCATCTTCATTACCATCATCGCAATGACACATAGGTGAGCCACAAATACCTACACGGAATACATCACTTTTAAGACCACTACATTAATGTCTAATTCGTGCTAAAAGAACCGAGAGGTATCGGTTAAAGACATTCAAATATTTCGGTAAAACGCGTGGTACAGGCGATATTTTTAAATTGAATGTAGAAGATGGCGAGATATTTTTAGCAGAATTATCAATTTTTAAGAATATCTAATCTACAGCGTGGTATTTGATAGTTATCGGGATAACGTTAATCACGATGAAGGTAATTTCTTCTGAAAGGAAGCAAATTATGAAGATAATCTGGTACTAATCTATTATGCATCTTATAAAAAGTAGAAAGTTTATTTTTTTCACTCCTAGATTTCAAAGGTACCCATCTGGTTTCAAAGTAAGGTGCCTCACCAGAGGCGACAGAGGATAGACCAGATCTTACTCTGGCTGCGTCTATAACTGTACTATCTCCAAGGCATTTGACAGTTCGACAGAACAACCATCCCATATACAAGAGTTGTCATTTATTCATGGAGCAATGTTGATCCAGTACTTAACAATCTCTCGTTCTTTATAAGATATCTTATAACCGAATTATATAAGATATCTCATTTAGATTTGTTTATAAGATATATTAACCACTAAACCACTTATCAGACTGGTCATGAGGTTCGGACCCACCCCATCCCCTCCCTCCCCATCCCGTCCCTTGGACCTAATATGATCTGAGTCATTATATGGAAACGAGTTCTCGTCTTTTATTTAAATAACCAATCGCTAGGCATAAGCCATACCGAGGTGAATCTACTGAAGCGTCAGCTCTTGCCACGAGCTGGCGCCGCTCTTAAGGTCTTCATGTCGTGGTTCGGGTGTAACTTGAATATTGACGATTTCCCAACTTCATAACCATATCAACTGGCAGACATGAAGAGACAAACTCAATCATGCTACCAGAATTTGCTCTGGGCTGTGGTATCATCCCTTGGACTATATCACTAGGTCGTAATATTTGAAACACTTCAGAGGGTGCCCTAGGCATCAAAATTTGGATGCATCTCTGCTACTAGAATTGGTACAGGGGTTAATTCATGTAAAGTATCTCCTTTGTCATAAACGGAAAAGGTTGCGATCCACTCCTATTTTTTTTGCTGAATAGATAAACAAACTCAAGGTTCCATGCTTAGTTCTGGGGTCTGGCCCCACCCCATGGGATTGCCCAGGGCCAAAGGCCATATACGCATGGATGCAGATCTCAAAACAAATTCGCTAATTATTCCTCACAACTGTAAAACAAAACAAAAGAGTGTAGCTACATCGGGGGCTGACGGAAAATGCCCAAGATGGGGATTTGGTCCTTTAAAGTTTTCCCGAATAGATTCCTCTTTGACACTGAGTTAAGTGTATGTCAACCAAACCTGATATGAAGCATCGTTGGAACCACATAATCAGACATTGTGTAAAGTTAGTGTGTCGTCCCCTGAGTACTGAGAGATGGAGTCCGAAATGAGAAAAGTATTGCAATATTGCTTCAACTGAGTGAGCATTGCATGCCCTCGGGGCCTTTTGTTTATATTCGATTGACGTGGGTACCTAAAATATAGGTTATACATGAACTATGGAAACAGCTTATAATGGTTAAAGACTCTTACATACCTTAGAACAAACTATATGATACTATTTTTTTTATCAATTGTGCAAACATTGATAGATTTGCAATTACACACTTGGAAGATAGTTTATCAATTTGTTCTCTGAGGTTATACTATAAAAACGAGAACGTTACCCTATTATGTTAAAATTCGTATGTTTGATGACGGACTTAGATAGCTTTATATACACGGTTTGACCGACCTTAATTTAGAGAAGGGTTGGGGAGAGAAAACCTGAAACGAGCACACCGACAATACCATTTTTTTTGTTTTATTTTTCTCTTAAAAATAAGATATGGCTCAATTTTTTAGTGAAAACAACCATACAGTGTTTCTTGTGATCAGAGACGTATATAACACTTTATACGTCTCTGTTGTGATCAACAATATATACGGTACTGCAATTTATGATGGAGTGGTGATGCGCTGATTTCAAACAAATCCGTGACAAATTCTATAATGTGTATCGTACATGAAAAAACGTATATTTGCTACCGTTTCTGTGCAGATATTATTTTTTACAGTTTGAGTATACAAAAGTTATGATATGTTTGCTCTGAGACAAACACAATATAAACAAATATAACCAAATACTTGTTTAGGTTTAAAACCAGACAGATTAAAATACAGCTCCTCATTACACTATCGTTCGCTAGTAGAACGATAGTATAATGAGGAGTTGCATTTTAATCAGATCGGTTTTATTTAAATATTTTTGTCATACTGCAAAGAAAAATGTCGCACGGTGGTACATAAGAGCACGTGCGCCTGTTGTAAGGGAGATAACTCGAAGATTCGAACCGAATCAATCAACAATATGGCGGAATGTTAACAATCAACAATATGGCGAAACGGTTTGCAAGCCACACGGAGAGTGAAATTGAGACAAACACAAAGAGAAGTAACAACCATATTGTTGACTTATTATAATTTAAAAAAATATTAAATTGTTGAAATTATACAAAAAATGTTTTTTCTGTTTTCCCGTACTACCGCCCTACACAGTATCTGTTTTCTGACAAACACGAGTCCCAACCTATAATTGGCTTTGCAGTATGACAAATTCGTTATACATGTCTTTGGCATTCGGCTCAGGGTACATAAGGTCCTGACAGCGAAAATGAGACCATGTACCCTGTCAAAGACCTGTGTAACTAATATAGTGTCGCCAACATCTACGTAAAGCCTAAAAGTCTATAAGGCGGAAGTAGCGAAGAGTTGTGTCCCCTCAATTCGTGCAATTTGACGCCATTTTGTAAGTCTCCGAATCAGTCTTATATTTGAAAGTGAAACTGGTTGCGTTTGAGAATGAACTGGACAATATGGCAGAGACAGAAACAATGAAACCACATGACGATTCCACTAAAGAGGAGGGGGAGTTATCAGACGACGATGATATCGTGGAACCGACCAAAAGCTTATCGAGTGTTGACCACAGAAACCGGGGGGCTGGCGATAGAAACCCAGAGGGAAAGTGTAATAATACGAACTTTAACACGAGAGAGTCTAACAACATTGGGAGGTTTCCCCCTAATTCGTACGGAGCCAAGATATACCGACCAGTACACAATACCAACTGGAAGGGAAAAGGAATGCATGTGGATTCCACTGCAGGAGGAGGTCGTGGCGGGCCTGTCCAGGTTTTTGACTATAGTCCTGGGATTCCATCTTTACTTAGCTTACCTCTCTATGACAGAATCCAACCCAGGGGTAATCACGTCACCAGATACCCACCGCCTCCTCCCCCAGGCCCTCCCCCATTGACAGCTCGGAAGATGCCTATCTCCATGTTGCGTGGGAGAGGAACAAGAGATTGGCTCGAGTGCAACGACAAGTGGGTAGAACCAAGGCCTAGGGATCACGACACACCAATACCACATGCATCACCAGGATGTATCCTTGACATTCATATCATTTTTTCAGATTTCTGATGGCCCGACTACTCCTACCGCTCTCTTGCTTCCTCCAATAACCTAAATCAGTTAGCTATAAACAGGTTGTAGACTTTCCAAGAATGTCCCTTAAAGCTATATACACCTGGTTCACTGAGTCTAAAATGATTTAGAAATTTTGGCACGATTTCGCTGACATATATACTAAAAGTATTATCATCATAAGTCTCATTTGTGTGACAAACAAAAATTTAGAAAAAATGAAACTGGCTTTTTGCTGGAAGATGCAGATATTTCTAATCTCTTAACAGCATGCAGTTTATCGATCCATGTGCGACATGTGTGTGAAAGTGACGATTTGTTTCTAAAATATCAGTTTGATGTGCATTCCGGGTGCGGGTCGCATATTTCCCGCATATTATAAGGGCCGGAGTTCTGACGTTAATCGACGACGGACCGATATGAAAAAAAGTTGATAAAACGTCAGAATAATTCGGACTAATGTACAATGTACTGACGATCCAATGCGTGTTTATGGAAATGACAATCGGAAAGATCCGCGATTTGATAATTCGTCAGTTCTGTTTTCATGCAATGTGTATTTAAAATACAATCAACCAGTATCTTTTTTAGAGTATTGTTTGCGTCTTACGTTCAACAATCTTACAACACTTAAATTAAAATACCTTCTAAAATTTTCGAGATTTACATCTGAAGCTGAAAGGAATTTGTTGTCAGCCTAAAAGTACTGCTGTACAATCGCATGCTGATTGTACGTAGAGACCGACAACTATCAAAAACTGATATTTACATGAAAAAGCACTGAAGTACATTTACAACACCTGGCCTGGCAGGCTTTGTTGAATAAGTCTTCAAGCCCAAGAAAAATAGTTTTAATTTGTCAGATGTTTACCGTTGACGTGCACAAGACAATCAGAGACGTACATGTGACAAATTATTAAGAAGTGGGGGGGGGGGGGGGGATCATCGTTGAAAGCCCTGGACCCTCTCATCCGTAATAATAATAATAATATTGGGCAACGATTTGGAAGTTTATATTTGTTAAGGACTGAGTCTTTATCGCGTATCATGTAAATTGACATCATCTAAGCCGATACCAGCCATCTTTCGCAAACAACATTAATCAGCTTCTTCAATTTACCGAAAACTTACTATCACAACTAAGAAAAGCCATGTATTTCAATGTTAATCATTGTTACATATACACATTTGGAACTGTTCGTATCAGTCGACTTGTGTGTAACATAAACATACACAATTTTACATTTAAACACTTAGATTACTTGTAAATTAGTTAAATGTTTGAAGGTGGCGAAACTGCCTGTACCTTTGAGCAAAACCATGGAAGGCCTGATGATGTCACAAATGTTGCTGCGTGACGTCATTCAGGCGTGTTTACAACAATGTTTATTTATAGGCATTTCAGTCAAATCTTCTTCTGTACTGGTGCTCGCCTGCATTTTGATACATGCGTTTTTGGACGAATAATTGACCGAAACCCTCACTAATCTGACGAATTTGCCTGTACTAACGTTAGAGAGTCTAGAATGTAGAGGTCCCAGCATGTTTAAATACTGACTTAACAGGTATGAGTTTGCCTTTTCCCTTCCTATTACTGCCCATACCGAAAAAAGTTACAAAAGTTATTTCTTTTTAGGTACAAAATGTTATAACTTTTGATGCTAGATTGGAACCTTGTGAGAAAGAGAGTTTCAATCTAGTACTAAAAAGTTACAAAAAGGTATTAAAAAGTTACACTCAAACACTTTGTTCAGTTCAATCATTACTTTATAATCATGCTCTCTTCATTGCTGTTTCCTTTTTTCTATCATACCTACGTTTTTTTGTTTTTTTTCAATTTGACAGTCCTATTCATAAACATGTAGATATACCAATGCATGTTATTGCCCTTAACAAAATTTCCAGTCTGGGACAAAAGAAAATTAAAGACAACTCGTCAGAATATTAAGAAAAATGAAGAATCTAAAAAAGATGAGTATGATGATTTATTAGAAAGTTATAAAAAGGAGCAGAGGAATATTCGTGACCAATTAGCAAAATATGATAAACCACCAGTAAAAAAGTCTGAGTCACCAAAAGAAGACAAAAAGATGCCTTCGACAACTACTGTTAATGCTAAAGAGTTGGTTCCTACTGTATTCGAGGAAGTTAAAACAGCGGGAGATGTAAAGGAAAAATCTAATCAGACGGCTGTCAATAACACTGCTGGACAGGTTCCTGATAGAGAAATAAAGGATTTGGTGTCAAATGGAAAGGCTGAGATAAGTAAACCCTCGGCTACTTCTGAGGTCTTGGATGTAGAGGAACCCAACAGTGACCAACCTGCAGCAGCTACAAGTCCACCTGAGAAAACAAGCCAAAATGTAAGCTAGCTATTGTATACTTCACATTGATACCAAATCAGCATGGCAATGTCCTATACTTGATTGTACTTGATTAAAATGGGTATTACTTTAAAGTTTCGCACAATTCACATCTTTCAATGTGCATGCCGAGCTGGAACTGGCCTTGTTGAAACTGATATGAGTAAACTAAATTCAGAAACAACAAAATCCTGAAAATATTGTATTTATATCCTAACCTCGAAAAAAAATTGTGTATCGTACCTTATTCAAAATATTGTGATATCTATTGTTGCACGATATATTGTTGCAGCCCTAATTTGTACTGTAGTATATATGCTTAAAGTCAGTACATGTATTACAGTGTGGCACTGTGTTGTATCTTTGAGCAAGATACTTTACTCTGCTTTTTCCAGTCTACTCAGCTGTAAATCAGTACGTGGTTTGGTAGTGCTAGAACTGTTGAATGCTAGCTGTGGGTGCTGAAATGACTGCACCGGTTGTATGCTCCCCAGGGAGCTGAGAAAGATGTTGGCTGGTTGCAAAGGCCCTATAACCATGGATAATAATTTGTGAACTGTTTGAGACGACCTACGAAGTGCCAAGTGAGCTTATGCCGTGGTGCGGCGTCCGTCCGTCGTCCGGCGTCAATATTTTACTTTAAACGACTTCTTCTTAATAACCGAAAGGCCTAGGGTGATGATATTTGGCCAGAAGCAAACTGGGATGAAGGGCTACCAAGTTTGTTCAAATAAATGACCTTCATCTATTTTCAAGGTCACAGGGGTCAAATATGTTAAAAACTTTAAACAACTTCTTCTCAATAACCAAACTGCCCAGGGAGATGATATTTGGTCAGTAGCATGCTAGGGTGAAGGGCTAC